AAATGGGTTTCTGGTTCGAATTTGGCTTCTGCACAACCCTCGAGGAGAGTTGAATCAGTTCCAGAATGTGGATTCCACCCAAAAATCACTATTTTTGAGCCAAAATCTGGGTTCGACATCCAAATCAAGAATAAAATCGAGTTTTTAAATTAATTAAAACGAGCATCTATTCTAATTAGAAGAACATGAACCAGAAAAATAAATTCTTTTAAAACACCTTAATTAAAAAATTAATTGCAAAAATTAAAAGGAGCGTGGCTCCGATACCGCTGTAGGGTTTTGTAGTGACCTGACACTACGCGGAAGGAAACCCCCCAAGACCCGCCCCTTAATAAAAGCAATTAACAAGCATAATAAACTTAATCAAACAAGATTAAGAACAAGAATTACACCTTTGTTGCGTGCTTTGCTCCCGAAGAGCTCTTACTTCAAAACCCCAAAACTACGAGATCTCCAATGGATCGTACCCTCAACCCGACCTGAGCGTCCCAAGTCTTGAAGGTTAGTTAAGACCCGGACAAAAAAAACTATGAGTTTTACGAATCAAAGGTTTACTCTAATTATTTGAGTTGCCTTTTTAATTCCACTCAAGGTTGTGCATTTCCCAATACCATGCCTTTGGTATTTATAGGGAAATGCACCCTTGAACTTCATTCCCCAACCAATGTGGGAGAATGAATAATTTGGCAATTAATTTATTTCCAAAATAATTAATAATTAAATTCAATCACAATGCTGAAAGGAATGGTGTCCTTCCAACAAGTGTATTATTCCGATAGAGGGTTCAGAATTATTACAGAGCTAATTCTTCAGTAAGGTCAAGTGATCGGAATGCCTAGGTGGAGGCCGCTTCCGATAAGAAATATCGAGGTACAATTGATATTACAACTTGATCTTAACTGAACCCTTCGGGTCGAACCCAATCGAATCTCCGATCCGAGACGTCGAATTAATTTGAAAGGATTTAATGAGTCGACAGAGTTTTACGAATAAAGACGTCGGAAATCGAGCCTAGGGCGTCGATACCAAGCGTCGCAAAATCACAAGCAACAAGTATGAGCGTAGCCGTAGCTAGGTTAGGCTAGCTCATAGCAAGCCTAGGCGCGCCATGTGTGTGCTAGGCGCACCATGGTGTGCTAGGCACCATCGCAGCCTAGGCGCACCCTGGCAGCCCATCGCAGGCTAGCAGCATGCTAGCATGGGTGCCTAGGTGCGCATGGCAACTATCGCAAGCCACATAGGCACCAGGCATCCCATAGCAGCTAGCAGCATGCTAGCGTGGTGCCTGGGTGTATATGGTGCCCTATCGCAGCGCACAGCCCTTGCTAGGCACCATCGCAAGGGCTGGCACCACGCACAAGCACCATCGCAATGCCAGGGGAATGCGTGTGTGTGCGTGTGTGTCTCGCAGCCTCGCACACTAGCCTCGCACAACAGCCGCACTGATGTGTGTGGGCTGGTGCGTGTGCGTGCAATGGCTGGCTGGGTTGCTAGGCAGCAGCACCACGCATGCATGTGCGTGTGCGTGTGTGCATGCCTCGCACCAAGCACAAGCAGTTCTAGGCACTGGCTAGTGCGAGCATAGGGTGGTGCATGATGCGTGTGGGCTAGCAATGTGTGTACGTAGGTGCGTGGCGCATGGCTGGTGCGTGATGCATGTGCGACCAGCCAATGCGTGGGATGCGAGGGCCAGCGCCAGCGATGCCAGCTAGCACTGGCTGTGCTAGCGATGCGATACAAGAGTGTGCGTGGTGCGATAGGCAGTGCTAGGCTGCCAGCAGCAGCAGCGCCTAGCACTGGCCAGCACCAGCGCCTAGCATGGCCTAACACCAGGCATGCGAGGCTGCTGGGCAGCACCATGCTAGCTGGCAGCAGCCCAGCAAGCCCTTTGTAAGAGGCGGTTTGAGGGAGTGGGGACCAATTGGCTTAGAGCATGCCTTGGGGATCAAGGCAATGGTCCCCCCAAAAGTTCATGGTCCTCACCTAACCTTCTCTCTCTATTTGACACTTGTTGCATTGTGATTAGTTTTGTTTAATAATTTATTTTAGAAATAAATTAATTAGCAAAAATACATTCTCCCACATTGGTGGAGGATGAAAAATCAAGGGATCATTTCCCTATAAATACCAAGCTTGGTATTGGGATTTGAAACAACCTTGAGTGGAATTAAAAAGGCAACTCTAAGAAAAGAGTAAACCTTTGATTCGTAAAACTCATAGTTATTTTGTCCGGGTCTTGACTAACCTTCAAGACTTAGGACGCTCGGGTCGGGTCGAGGGTAAAATCCGTCGGAGATCTCGTCTTTTTGGGATTTTGAAGTAAGAGCTCTTTGGGAGCGAAGCACGCGTCAAAGGTATAATTCTTGTTCTTAATCTTATTTGATTAAGTTTATTATTCTTGTTTAATTGCTTTAATTAAGGGGCGGGTCTTGGTGGGTTTCCTTCCGCGTAGTGTCGGGTCACTACGAAACCTTACAAATGCAACAAGTGTCAAGGGGAGAGAGAAGGTTAGGTGAGGACCATGGAGAGGAGGGGGGATTATTTCCTTGCTCCCCAAGGCTTTGCCCAAGCCTTGGTCCCCACCCCTCACAAAACCGCCTCAACTAAAGGGTTGCTGGGCTGCTGCCAGCTAGCACGCCAGCTAGCACCAACCCACCCAGCTGCCTACGCATCCCAACAAGGCAGTGCATGCTTGGTGCTGGGCGATGCTTGGCGCTGGTGTGTGCTAGTGCTAGGCGCTGGCCCCAGCATCCCACGCACCACACGCATCCTCGCTGCACCTCTCGCACATGCTCGCATAGCCAGCATGCGTGCTGCTAGCGAGCCACGCATGCTGGCCCCCCTTGCCTCGCACCATACGCATCAGCCTCGCAGCATATGCACTAGTCACGCACCATGCGCACTAGTCACGCACAACACGCATCAGCCTCGCACCAGACGCACACCCACGCATCACCTAGCAGCCTTGGTGCGTAGTGATGCTTGGCTGCTGTGCGTGGCCTAGCAATGTGCTGGCGCCCAGGCCCTCGCGCACGCATGGTGCGCTGCTTGGTGCTGCCATGCGAAGGCTAGCACGCAAGCTAGCACGCATGCTGCGATGGGCTGCCTGGTGCGCCTATTGCTTGCGATAGGCTGCCAGGTGCTCCTGGTGCGCCTAGTGCTTGCGATAGTCTACCAGGTGCGCCTGATGCGCCTATTGCTTGCGATAGTCTGCCAGGTGCGCCTGGTGCGCCTATTGCTTGCGATAGGCCAGCGATGGTGCGCCTAGTGCTTGCGCCTAGCCATGCTAGGTGCATGCTAGCTCGAACTAGCCTAGCATCCACATGGCTAGGCCAATGTGGTGCTAGGGCTATGTTCGTACTTGTCGCTTTGTGATTTTGCGACGCTCAGTCTCGACGCCTTTGGCTCGATATCCGAGGTCTGTATTCGTACAACTCTGTCGACTCATTAAATCCTTTCGGATTAATTCATCATCTGGGATCGGTGATTCGATTAGGTTCGACCCGAAGGGTTCAGTTAAGATTAAGCTGTAATATCAATTGTACCTCGATATTACTGATCGGAAGCGGCCTCCACCTAGGCATTCCGATCACTTGATCTTACTGAAGAATTAACTCTGTAATAATTCTGAACCTTCTATCGGAAGAATACACTTGTTGGAAGGACACCATTCCTTTCACACTCTTCTTAGGGACATATTCCCACCAGTCACTCTCTTTAACATACACTGCATGAACCCATTTTACCCATAATGAGTCTTCCTTTTGTGCTATTTTCCAAACATACTTCCCAAGAGCAGCCTTGTTCCAGGTTTCACAGTCCCTCATGCCCAAACCCCCAGCCTTCTTGTCTTTACAAACCCAGTCCCAAGACATGGGAGGGGCCTTCCTCAGAATTGCACTACCATTGCACAGAAAAGCCCTGCAAATTTGAGTTATTCTCTTAACCACCCCATCAGGTAACAGGACACATTGAGACCAATATGTGTGGAGGCTAAGAAGAACAGTGTTGACTAGAAGGCTTCTAGCTGCATAAGAAAGGTTTCTGCTTGACCAGCATGTAATCTTGGTCAACATTTTATCCACCAGGCAGTCATAATCCTTGTTAGAAAGACTTCTAACATTTAAAGGGATACCCAAATACCTAAAAGGAGTATCACCTTCCACAAAACCAGAAGCCCTCAAAATGTCAAGTTTCACAGCATTTGCTACATTACCAAAGTAAATGGCAGTCTTCTCAGCACTGGCCTATAACCCAGAACATTTCTCAAATAATTTTAAGACTCTGACCATAAGAGACACTGACTTCCTATCACCATAACATAACAGCATCAAGTCATCAGCAAATGCTAAATGGTTCAAATTGAGCACCTTACATCTAGAGTGAAATTTAAAGCTTCTCATACATCCCACTTTCTTCAATAACCTAGAAAGGTATTCCATGACAATCACAAAGATAAGAGGAGACATTGGATCTCCCTGCCTGATTCCTTTCTTGCCCTTGTAGAAGCCATTAAGACCTCCATTCAACATAATGGAGAAAGAGGGGGTTGAAATGCATTGCATAATCCATTTCACAAACACAGGAGGAAACTTAAGACCAGTAAGCATGTCATTTATAAAGTTCCAGTTCATGGAATCATAAGCCTTCCTAAGATCCACCTTGATAGTGCATCTAGGAGCCTTTTTCTTATTTTTATATCCCTTTAAGATATCTTGACAAATAAGAATGTTATCCAATATGGATCTTCCAGCCACAAAAGCACTCTGAACTTCATTAATTAAACCAGGAAGCACCTCCTTCAACCTGGAGCATATCATCCTAGCTACCACATACGCTTTTCCACATTCTGTTTCCACCATTCCCCTGTTGCATTCTCTTCTCTTTTTCTTCTTTCCCATGGCTGACTCTAAATCTTCTTTTCACCCTGCTCTTACTGTTATAAACATTAAGAATTTGGTTCCCATCACTCTTGAGATGGAGAACGTCCACTATGCGACATGGGCGAAACTTTTCAATCTCACAAAGTCATAGATCATATTATTCCTCCGGCAAAAGGCAAGGAGAAGCCACCTAAAATAGAGGAGGAGAAGGAGATGTGGGACACTCTCGATGCCACGGTTCTCCAATGGATCTATGCTACTATCTCTCATGATTTTTTGCACACAATTCTTGAACCTGACACCACGACGATGGAGGCTTGGAATAGGTTGTGTGACATATTTCAAGATAACAAACATTCCCGCGCCGTCATCCTTGAGTACGATTTCACACATACTGAAATGGAGAACTTTCCCAATGTATTGGCGTATTGTCAACACCTTAAGTCATTGTCGGATCAACTCAAGAATGTCGGTTCTCCGGTGGACAACAATCGGCTGGTTCTCCAGTTGGTATCCGGCCTCACCAAGCCCTATAATGGTGTGGCCATGTCAACCGCCAAAGTGATCCTTTGCCCCAGTTTTATAAAGCTCGCTCGATGCTTGTGCTTGAAGAGTATGGCCTCAACAAGGCAGCTCAAACCACATCCTCCGCTATGATTACTCGTGACTCAGACAATTATCATGAAACCACTGATCAATCGTCTTTACACAGCAATAACAATGGTGGAAAACGACATCAAAATCATGGAAATTCTAGCAAAAATAAGAATTCCGATGGGGGCCAAGGCAAGGGTACCTCTGATGGCGGCGGCGGCGGCTCTGGAGGTGAGGGGAAGAACGGCGACGGCAACAACCGCAATGGTGGACAACAGCATCATCCCCCCGCAACTGCATCGTCTTGGCAGCAGTGGATGCAGTGGCCTTGGATACAATGGCCCGTGACTCCTTATCCTTTCCCTACTAGGCAGTGGGCTAGGCCCAATCTGAACTTTCAGCAGTAGTGCCAACAGTCACAGCCCGATCTTCTAGGGCCCCGTCCTCAATAGCAGGCTTACTCGTCCACTACTCCAACAGATATCAAGGCGGCAATGCACACCCTCGGTATTACTCATTCGGATGCAAACAGGTACATGGACACCGACGCCATATCTCATATGACATCCAGGCAAGGTAATCTCACGTCTTATTTTAGTTTAAGAAATAGTCGTGGTATAACTGTTGGTAATGGCCAATCTATCCCAATTCATGGCTATGGACATACTAATTTAGCATCTCCCCATCCTCCCTTGTCTCTCAAAAATGTTCTGCATGCCCCTAATCTTATTAAAAATCTAGTGTCCGTTAGGAAGTTCACTACTGATAATTCTGTTTCAATTGAATTTGATCCATTTGGGTTTTCTTTGAAAGACTTACAAACGGGGATACGTCTAATGAAATATGAGAGTTGGGGAGCACTTTATCCCATCACCAAGCCATCGTTCTCTTCCCATTCAACTTTTACTGCTTTAGCTCCTTCCTTATGGCATGACCGTTTGGGACACCCGGGAGCGAATATTTTGAGTTCTCTTAGGAAGAATAAATTTATTGAATGTAATAGAACTGGAAATTCCAGTATTTGTCATTCATGTCCTCTTGGAAAACAAGTTAAATTGCCATTTGTTAGTTCAAATTCTTCTACTATTATGCCATTTGATATTATTCACACTGATCTTTGGACATCTCCTGTTTTAAGTTCTACTGATCATCGATAGTATATTCTATTGCTAGATGATTTTTCTAAGTTTTGTTGGACCTTTCCTTTGTCGAAAAAATCAGATTCTTATCCCACCATATTGAACTTTAGAACTTTCATTCGAACTCAATTTGAACGGGAAATTAAAAACATACAATGTGATAATGGTCGGGAACTTGATAATGGATCTTTTTGGAATTTTGTAAAAAGCATGGGTTTTCTTTCCGTTTGTCATGTCCTCATACATCTCCTCAAAATGGTAAAGCTGAAAGAAAAATCCGTACAATTAACAATGTTGCTCGTACTTTACTAGCACATGCTTCTTTACCTCCCTTATTTTGGCATCATGCTTTACAAATGGTGACTTACCTTCTCAATATTCTTCCTCACAAAAACTTGAACTATCGATCTCCCCTCTTGATTCTCTATCAAAAGGATTTGTCCTACTCTCATCTCTGGGTTTTTGGGTATTTATGTTTTCCCCTTTTTCCTTCTACTACCATAAACAAGCTCCAACCCCATTCTACACCATGTGTGTTTTTGGGTTATCCTTCTAATCATCGTGGTATAAGAGATTTGCTGACTATGTTTCCACTATTGGATTTACCCATAGTACTTTTGATCACTCTCTCTTCATTTATCGGCAAGGTATTAACATGGCTTATATATTATTATATGTGGATAACATTATTTTAGCTGCTTTTTCTGCTGATCTTCGAAAGTCCATTATTGTCATTCTTAGCTCTGAGTTTGCTATGAAGGACTTGGGTCCTTTGAGTTATTTCTTGGGGATTGTTGTTACTCGTCATGCAGGTGGCTTGTTCTTGTCACAAAATAAGTATGCATTAGAAATCATTGACAGAGGTGGCATGTCTTCTTGTAAGCCATCTCCTACTCCAGTTGATACTAAGCCGAAGATGAGTGCTACTTCTAGCACACTATATGCAGATCCCACTCTATATAGGAGCCTCGCAGGGGCTCTTCAATAGCTTACCTTCACACGACCCGATATCACATTTGTGGATCCACAAGTGTGTTTATTCATGCATGACCTGGAAGAAGAACACATGCTTGCTCTCAAGCGCATTGTGCGCCATATCCAGGGTACTCTAGACTATGGTCTTCATTTGTATCCTTCTTCTACATCTACTCTTATCTCATATACTGATGCAGATTGGGGTGGATGTCCGGATACCCGCAGATCGACTTTAGGTTATTGTGTGTTTCTAGGTGATAACTTACTATCGTGGTCTGCAAAAAGGCAACCTACTTTATCCAAATCCAGTGCGGAGGCATAATATCGAGGGGTTGCTAATGTGGTTTCTGAGTCATGCTGGTTACGTAATCTTCTTTTGGAACTTCATTGTCCCATTAAGAAGGCTACTTTGGTATATTGTGATAATGTTGGTGCTGTATATCTTGCTGGTAACCTTGTTCAGCATCAATGCACTAAACATATTGAGATGGATATTCACTTTGTTCGTGAAAAGGTTGCTTGAGGTCATGTTCGTGTTAGGATCATTTTTTACATGTACCATCTCGTCATCAGATTGCAGATATCTATACTAAGGGACTCCCGTTGATTTTGTTTGAAGATTTTCGGGACAGTCTAAGTGTTCGACGACCTCCCGCTAAGACTACGAGGGAGTGTTAGAATATATCTCAATATATTTTGATTTGTATAGTTATTATATTTGTTAGGGGTATAATTAGCTTTATATGTATCCCTTAATTATAGCTAGTCAGTTGGTAATTCTTAGCCTAACATTACGCTTGTAATCTTGTATATAAGCCAAGATTGCTTAATGAATTAATCAAGAAAAATACTTCTTTCAATCATCTCTCTAAAAACTTCTCCGTTAACCACACCGGACACTCGGCCAGCACACAACAGTGACAACACACCAACACATGCTACCATCAACGCCCATCCCATGGATGCCGCAAATCACCTAGTTTTTCTTTCAAAAATTAAAACTAATTTATAAACAGTGGTGTCTAACTATCTATAGCTCCGTCTCCAATCCACAGATTCTACCCTCCCAATTGAATAACAAAATTACAAGATATTTCTCGGCCTCTCCACCTTTAGATTCGTTGCACGAAAAATAAAACAAGAAAAACGTAACGTTTGCGCGTCCACTTAATAAATCTGTTTCTACATTAATATCATACACGTCAACAATACAACCAGCACTAAAACAACTGTAATACAGTACTTCGTAATAGACAAATAACACCACAAACCTTAACAAAAAGTTTATGCTCAGATTATTAAAATTAAAATATTAATAATACTGTACAACGGAAAAATGTATTTGAGTGAGACAACCCTTTCAGAAAGGAATCCTAGACTAAAGGATCTCTATTTGACCTCCTCTTTAAATTCCAGCTTAACCGGAAACTTAATTAAATTCCGCAATCATAAGCCTTAATCAGGGAAGAGCTCATTAAACAGCTAAAATAATTAATGCACAAATTCCGGATTCAATTAGCGCTTATTTGGTTGACATAAAACAGACATGGGATATTAAAAGGTGAGGAGAAGACGTCATAGCATACCAAAACCTTGCACAAGTTTGCAATACAAAGTTTGTTAGCATTCCCTTGAAAACATATGAAATAAAAAAGTTTGCAATTTCTGATTGGAAATAAGTTCTCACAATCAACCAAATAACATTTTGTACATTAAAAATAAAATGCATTGGAAACACAAGTTCCAGTGAGTACATTCAAATTTATTCATTCCACTCCAAATACATGCAAAGTAGGATTGAAGAGTAATTATAAAATGAAGTAAAGAGATATAATTACATAGAAGTAGACAAATAGTACTACTCTATATATATACTTAATTTTTTTTTGTTACGAGACTTCTGACAATGTGAATACACAGAGACTCTATTCAGTAGTATAAAAACAGCACTCAAATACAAATTTAAAGAAAAAAAAAAAACGCAACAAAAAGGAATCAAAACATAAATTAATAAATCTATTAAAAAAAATATTACAAATTTGTAAATTTGTAATAACTCATCTGAATTTTCTTTATTTTGTTGATTTTTTCAAGATTGATTATTGTTGAAAGCATCACATCTTCGCCTAATCTCACCATGTCGCCCAGTTTTAACACCAACAAGACTCAACTTCTGCATTGCTTTCGCAAAATCACTGAAGAACGCATTCTGATCCTTAGCATACAACTCTACAAACGGTCGTGTTCTCGGGTCGGTGAATAAGACCCGATCGGAAGCCAAAATACCCCAACCTTTCGGCAAGTTCTGGAAGTAGACATTGTCGAACTTGTTAGGGGTCATTATATCATTGAACACTGAAAGACTCGGATCTTTTTGATAGCCCGAACAAGCCTTTTCCAATCCTTGGGCCAGTTTCGGGTTGTAAGTCGGGTCGTACTGTTGGGTTGTGCTGTAGTTGTAGATCCCGGAAGCGAATTCCGAGCAGTGTGAGAATCCAATGGTGTGTCCACCACTCAAAGCAACCATTTCTCGGACAGAGAATTTTTGTTTAGCGAAGATTGAGATCATTTCATCGAGTGTCATCTTTGGTTTGGGTAGTGTGGTGGGGGTGACTAGTGAGCTTTTGGATACGATTCCGTCTTTGCGACCGAGGAGGAGGGAGTAGTAAGGGCCGCCGACGAATTTGACGAGGTTGCGGGTAGCGACGGCGAGGATGTCGGTGCAGGAGACGACGCCAGGGCAGGCGAGTTCGAGGGCGGCTTTAGCGCGGACGACGACGTCGAAGCCGTCGCCAGGGAGGGAGAGGTTGATTTCGGCGTCGCGTTCGGCGGAGTTGAAAGGGGTGGAGGTGATGAGAGTGGAGGCGTCGCAGCCGGTGACGAAGCAGTCGTGGAAGAAGAGGCGGAGGGCGGCGCCGGCGGTGGTGGGGTGGGCGATTTGTTTGTTGGTGGTGGTTTCTTCCATGATTGAGTCGAATTTGGGGCAGGATTTGGCGTAGTAGTTGGCGGAGAGACGGGATTGGGAGGTAGGGAATGAGAAAATGAGGGATGCGAAGATGATGAAGAGGTGCAAGTGGGGTGCCATGATGGAGGTGGCTACCACTAGTGAGTGGTGGTGGTTGAGGAAGGAGAGAGAGTGGGAAGGAGGTGAGTGGAAAAGGAGATGGGGTTTTAAAGAGAGAGAGAGAATGTGGAGGAGAGAAAATGGAATGGTGAGGGTGGGGGAGTGAGGGAATGGGGACAGTAGGATTGATGGATGAACGGATGAACGATGATGATTAGGGAAGAGTATAAGTTTTTGACTAAGCAATATTACAATGAGTAATAAATCTAACAATAATACTTCTTGTTGTTGTCATGGAGTACTTATATGATGCTCAACTAAAAACAAATGACGGATTTTCTAACAATTGTTCATCAAAAAAGCCTGATTTTATAGGAATAATTATTAGTTCAGTTTAATTCAATTCAACTAATTCGTATTAATATTATTACTCCTTCCGTCTCATAATACTTAGGACATTGAGGTAGACACATAGTTTAAGAAAATTACAAATAGGTCCATTTAAAACATTTGTTTATTATATAAAAGATTCTCTTCTGTATTTTTATATTGAAAGAAAATAACAAGTGGGGGTAGTGAGGACTGAGGAGAGAGAAAATAAGAAAAAATATTATTTTATCAGTGGTCTCATTTTATATTCAGTAACGTGTTAAGTATTGTGGAACGGACGAAAATGGGAACTGTGTCAAGTATTATGGGACGAAGGGAGTATTATAGAAGACTAGGACTATACACAGTTTGGTCTGGACTGTAACCAAACCAGACCAAACCGCATTTTAGTGGTTCGGTTTGGTTTATGGTTTGGTTTCGATTTTTTTGTAAATACGATTTACAGTTTGGTTTGGTTTTTCAAAAACTATAAACCAAACCAAACTGTAAACCAGTAAACCGTATTTTATTATTTATATAATTTTTCAAATAAATTAAAATAATTATTATAAATCAAAATAAATAAATAAAAAAAAACAATCAAATACGAAAAATCAAAATACAACAGGGTATACGAGCATACAACTATACGGTCAGTAGGTCAGTAGGTAAATAAAAATATGTTGCTATTGGATGAGTGCTTGGATATGTGGTAATATTGCTACCTGCTGTGAGCCCCTAATGTTATCAATCTGGACATGTTGCTACCAATTAGACATATGTATAAATTGTAATAATGACTATAATGTATTATGAATTTATGATGATAAATTGGTTGTTATTGTATTATGTGTTAGCACTCGGATTGTTATTATTATTGTAAATTTGTAATACAATTTAATTCGCTTGGTCTAATTATTTAAACTTTAGTCGTATCACCAAATTAAAAATAATTCTTAAGTCCTCTAACTAAAGTAGACAGGGAAGTAGGGTCGAATCCACAGGGAAACTAAGTCTTTCTATTTCTAAAAAATTAATATAATCTAAATTATCAAGTAACCAAATTGTTTTTGTGAGAATTAAACTAAGGAGAATAAATAAACTAATGCGAAAAAAAATAAGGGGAATAACAATAAATCGGTATAGGTTCACCAATAAATAATATTCTAGAGTAAAACATAACAATCAATTATCGATGCATCAATTAATCAGATCATAAAGGACTTTCGCTACGTATTACAATAACAGAATAATCTAGCGGTATTAAATCGCATCTCTCGAGTCTTGACTTAACCATTTATATTAACCTGCCTATTGAAACTAATCATAAAAATCAATTCTCATCTGTCGAATCTCGAATCAATATTTCATAACTCATACAATTAAACTAGGCCTAATCTAATTGCATAGCATTAAATCAATCAATAGGAAATTAATCAAGAATTGACAATCAACAATAATAAATTACCCATTCATATTATGTATAGATCCCCACGAACCCTAGAAATAAACTACTCACACATATTCAAATCTAAACTAAGCAAAACAATAAAAATCAAAGCAATTAAATTACTGAAAATGAAAGGGAAAGAAATCATTACCAAAATAAACGGAAATAATGAATTGCATAAACCAAAAGTGTTGAGAGAACAAAAGTACTAATGTAAGCTTAAAACTAAAATCTGAAAATTAAATAATGAATGACGTCCCTTGTTTCGCTTAACAAAAGCGTATTTATACTAAGCTAAAAAATCCTAAACTAAAAAGAAGTTTAATCGTCGCAAAACTCCTCTTGGCTCTTCTGCATCCTACCTATGGCCTGACCTATACTCTAAAGGTCCCAACGTGTCTCGGGGTCCGATCTAGGCTGACGAGGAGGTGGCTGAGACACATGTGGTTATGGCACATGCACCTGGGGCTGTGCTTGGGGCTGAGCCCTGGGAAGTAAGTGGGGGTAGGTGTAAGACTGCTGTCCGGCAGGGAAGCTATTCAATTCTATGTTAGGGAGAGTAAATACAGGAACGTAGTCCTTCCCTATCTTCACTAGCTACTCTAGGACCTGGCGGTGGTTAGGATTAACCCAGTTCAACCCCCCATAATAGTGCAAGTTCTGATAAGTAGCCCTCCCCACAGTTGGTTAACCCCTCATAGCTAGTCTCACTAAATTAAACCCCGCCTTTTTAATTTCTATCCTAGTAATTAGGCCACCAAAACAAAAAGGGGTTTTAACATTAGTATCAGAAGTGTTGGCATGCCTAATCAAATGGTCTATAATATATCGTGTAATGTTCAATCTACCATAACCAAACATATAATGCCCTATGATAGCAAGTTCTAAAGATTGGGCGTTATGAGGCTCATGGCGGGCCAAAAAACAAGTCCCGAAAAATCTTTGAAAGATTTATGGGACGAGGTGGTGAAAGGGGAGTGAACTACAATGTTGAATATTAGGGCAAGGTTTGCCCGTCAAAGGTAAATACACATTGTCAGCTTTATAGTCCTCTTGAAATTGGGGGGGGGGGGGGGAGGGATCAAGTTCAAATAACCTTGCAAATTCGACATAATTTAGTTTAACATTTCTATTGTTCAATCGAAAATGCAAATTAGGACCATGCTTTGAATTAACTACATTCAAAGAAGATAAGAATTCACGAGTAAGTTCCTAAATGTAGGAGAATACATATCAACAAATTTTCTCATACCAATGTCATTCATAAATCTCCTAATATGGTCATAAACACCTAAAGCATTTAGAGTGTCTTGGTGTAACCTCCGAGAAGAAGTTACCTCCCGATCATAAAGATTGATGAGACGACTCCGTTTTTGTGAAAGGAATGGTGTCCTTCCAACAAGTGTATTCTTCTGATAGAGGGTTCAGAATTATTACAGAGTTAATTCTTCAGTAAGATCAAGTGATCGGAATGCCTAGGTTAAGGCCGCTTCCGATCAGTAATATCGAGGTACAATTGATATTACAGCTTAATCTTAACTGAACCCTTCGGGTCGAACCCAACCGAATCACCGATCCGAGACGACGAATTAATCCGAAAGGATTTAATGAGTCGAAAGAGTTTTACGAATACAGACGTCGGACATCAAGCCTAAGGCGTCGAGGCCGAGCGTCGCAAAATCACAAGCGACAAGTACGAGCGTAGCCGTAGCACCACAATGGTCTAACCATGTGGATGCTAGGCTAGTTCGAGCTAGCATGCACCTAGCATGGCTAGGCGCAAGCCTAAGCACACTAGGTGTGCTAGGCGCACCATCACAGCCTAGGCGCACCATCGCTGACCATCGCAGCCCTAGCATCATGCCTAGGCGCTATCGCAGCCTTAGCATGATGCCTAGGCACCAGCGCTGACCATCGCAGCCCTAGCATCATGCCTAGGCGCTATCGCAGCCCTAGCATGATGCCTAGGCACCATCGCTGACCATCGCAGCCTAGGCCCACCATCGCAGCCTAGGCGCACCATCGCAACACAGTTTAGTGCTTGCCTGGATTCTTAGGTGCGCATGGCAAGGCCACACACGCACCAAGCACAGCCATCGCATTGCTAGGCACTGGCGCATGTGCATGTGCGTGTGCGTGCCTCGCACCAAGCACAGCCATAGCAGTGCTAGGCACTGGCGTGTGCTAGGATGCCTGGCAGCATCGCCCAGCACGCATGCTAGGCCCTTGCGTACATAGGCTCGCTGGCTGGGCTAGCAAGGTGTGCGAGGCATGTGCGTGTGCGAGAGGTGCGGCGAGGGATGCGAGTGTGTGCGTAGTGCGAAGGTGATGCGTGTAGCTGGCGAGGCAAGGGGGCCAGCATGCGTGGCTGGCTAGCAGCATGCATGCTGGCTATGCGAGCATATGCGAGAGAGGCGAGGGCCAGCACCAGCGCCAGTTGTTAGCAGCGCCTAGCACTGGCACGCAGCAGCAGCACAAGCATCGCCCAGCACCAGCACGCATTGCCTGGCTGGGGATGCGAGGCTGCTGGCTGGGCTGGTGCTAGCTGGCTGGGCTAGTTGGCACTGCTAGCTGGCGTGCTAGCTGGCAGCAACCCAGCAACCCCTTGCTTAAGGCGGTTCTGTGAGGGGTGGGGACCAAGGCTTGGGCAAAGCCTTGGAGAGCAAGGCAATGGTCCCCCCACCTCTTCATGGTCCTCACCTAACCTTCTCTCTCCCCTTGACACTTGTTGCACTGTGATTGAATTTAATTATTAATTTATTTTGGAAATAAATTAATTATCAAAATAATTCATTCTCCCACATTGGTTGGGAAATGAAGTTCAAGGGTGCATTTCCCTATAGATACCAAAGGCATGGTATTGGGAAATACACAACCTTGAGTGGAATTAAAAAGGCAACTCTTGTAATTAGAGTAAACCTTTGATTCGTAAAACTCATAGTTTTGTTTTGTCCGGGTCTTGACTAACCTTCAAGACTTGGGACGCTCGGGTCGGATCGAGGGTACGATCCGTCGGAGATCTCGTAGTTTCGGGATTTTGAAGTAAGAGCTCTTCGGGAGCGAAGCACGCAACAAAGGTATAATTCTTGTTCTTAGTCTTGCTTGATTAAGTTTATTATGCTTGTTAATTGCTTTAATTAAGGGGCGGGTCTTGGGGGGTTTTCTTTCGCGTAGTGTCGGGTCACTACGAAACCCTACATTTTGTTGTAACACGATCACGATCGTCGCCCACTCTTGCAATTGTAGAGCTTCTTCGATTGGTTGTCTTGAACTCGAGCCACCCCTGCCACGTTGTGTTCTTGCCCTTTTACTTACCATGGTGAATGTGGGTCTAAAAAAAAATTTGTTGCAAAAAAAAAAAAAATAGTGTGGAAGTAAAGAGGATGAAGAGAGGAAGAAGAATATGTAAAAAATTTTGAATTTGGATGAGAAATGAAGGAGAAATCTTAGAGAGAAGTTAGAGAAATT